GAAGGGTTGCCCCTTGGGGGCCCCCATGGGAAGAAGGTGTTTCATTAGGAAAACTCAGTGAGCCACGGCGACAAGGAGTCACAGGGCATCGCAGCCCTGGGGAGACCTGTGTGGGAGGGAGACAAGTCTGCTCAGACCTCAGGCAGGAGGGGAGACAGAGCGGAGAGGCGTCGGTTTCATGGCGACAGGTGTGGGGCGGAGATAAGGGCTGCCTGCGGGTGGATGACGCGTGGCTGCCGGGGTCTGAACAGTGTCAGATGCTGAAGTGAGATTTCCCGGGGACACGAAGGGGATCCCAGGAAAGTGAGTGGGCCTCGAGGGATGGGAGGATGTCGGCGAACATGGTTTTAAACAGCAGGGTGGGGTGGGGGACACCTGGGTGATTCCGCTGTACAGCCATCCCCAAAGCTCCGCACTGGCCCCTGAAGACCATGCAGGGAGCCCCTGTTGGTTCACTCCCTGCAGGTGACACTGGCTCATTAAGCCTGTGCTAAACATGCCACAAGCATTATCTCAGCTATTGTCTGTGAATTATTATTATTATTATTATTATTGCCCCGTTTACCACATCGGGAAACCAAGGCTCCCAGAGAGGAAGCAACCCACCCGGTTGGAGAATAGCACAGCTAGAGTTCAAACACAGACATGTTCCGTGTCCACAGTCCACGCCTCGGCACGTGATGGGTGGGCAAAGGCACCCACAGCAGCAACCCTAGCTGGAAGGTTTCTGAAGTGAAGTTAGAAGTAGCCTGGATCTTAAACGTCAGGCTAAGGAATGTGAACTTGATCCTGCAGGTAGTGGGGAGCCATTGACGGTGTTGGGGCATTGATCTGGCAGCCTTCCAAGGACGCAGGGAAGAGGAAGGGCCCAGAGCCACTGAGGAAGGGGCTGTGCAGCAGGACGGCTCCTCGCCAGCACTTCCTCTGCATTTCATCATCGTCTCGTCCTTGAGGCCGGCTGGAGTCTGCCCTTGACATTCAGTCGGTGCGTAAATCCCAGCCTCTCAGGCCAAGGCCCCAATGAAAAGAGAAAAATGGTTTTTACAGGGTGTGGAGCAGTGCACACGCGTGTAGCCTTGAGCCAGCTGTCCCGCTCCACTCGCACTAGCTGTCACCCTGGGCGGGGCGCTAACCTCTGAGCCTCACTTCCACTTGTAAAATGGGGTGGAGATTGGCGCCCACCTCGGCATGAAGATCCAGGGACATGGGCATGTTAACAGCACCCAGCCCAGGCCGGGCCTTGGGTGAGGAGAGGGCAGGCGTGTGTGTGTGTGTGTGTGTGTGTGTGTGTGTGTGTCTCCGTGGGGGCTGTGCCTGCCCCTGGTACACAGTGGCCATCCCTCACTGACACTCGAGCAGCTGCCATGACTTCCATCTTGCCTGAAGAATTGGTATTCCCTCCAACTTTACACGTTGCTCAGACATTTTATTTTTTATTCTTTTAAATATATTTTTATTGATTTCAGAGAGGAAGGGAGAGATAGAAACATTAATGATGAGAGGGAATCACGGATCGGCTGCCTCCTGCACACCCCACACTGGGGATGGAGCCTGCAACCAGGGCATGTGCCCTTGACCGGAATCAAACCGAGCCAAACCGGCTAGGGCTGCTCAGACATTTTAAATTCATTGATTTCTCTTCTTTCCTTGGAAGACTCCAGACTCATTTGTAGGACAGTCCTTGTCCCTTCGAATTGGAAGGGCTGGCTGAGTTACAGGATGGAATCTATTTCTTTTTATCACTTACATTGCTTCCCCCCTCTCCTTATTCCAAAAGCAGTCATACACTCAGTGTCGTTCACACAAGGCAGAGATGAAGAAAACCACCATAATCCTACCATCTGGACATAATTACGGTTGGGGTTTTAGTTCTTATCCTTCGAGCATTATTTCAGAAAAAGGAATACACACATTGGTTTTCCACACACACAAAAGGGATCTTACCAGACACGCGCTGTTATCACCACTGTTTCAGTTAGTAAGACACTGTGAACATTTCTCCCATTTCTCATCCTCATCCTTTTGAAGGCCTTAATAGTATTCTCTTGTACCAGTGCCCTGTAGTGCGCACCTAGGTTGTTCCTCGTTATTTGCTACTCAACTACAATGAGCAGCCAGCCTGCTGGCTAAATGTTCATCCACACCCATGATTATTTTCCCAGGGTAAATTTTGAAAAAATAGAACGGCTGGGTCAAAGTTTTTCTAAAAATATATTTTTCTTGATATTTCAGAGAGGAAGGGAGAGGGAAAGAGAGATAGAAACATCAATGATGAGAGAGAATCGTTTGGCTGGCTGGCTCCTGCATGCCTCACATTGAGAATGGAACCTGCAACCCGGGGCCTGTGCCCCGACCAGGAATTGAACCATGACCTCCTGGTTCATAGGTCGATGCTCAACCATTGAGCCACGCTGGCTGGGCTGGGTCAAAGTTTTTGACTGTCAAGTTGGCCTTCCCACCAGCAGGATTTGAGAATGACCAGATCACATCTCTTTGCTCATGCCAGGTATTACAATAACAAAAACTTTCTGAGTTTAATAAGTAAAAGCATATCTAGCTATTTCTATTTTGCAAATCCATTCTCGTGGGCCTGAGGAGGATGTAGAGAGGTGTGGTGGATGCTCAGATTTGGTGCCCGGATCCCCCACAGGAGTGGGATGCTGGAAGTGCTATAGGCCAGCGGCCTCAGCTGTCAGCCCAGTCAGAGGTCAGCCACACCAAGAACTGCCCTGCCCCATTCTGCCTCCTTCCTAGGCAGAAGCCTCAGTGGGTGATTGACGTGACTGTACAGGGCTGCCCTCTTGCTGGCCAGTGTAGCTCAGTGGTTGAGTGTCGACCCATGAACCAGGTCACTTTTCGATTCCCGGTCAGGGCACATGCCCAGGTTGCAGCAACAGATCCTCAGTATGGGGTGTGCAGGAGGCAGCCGATCAATGATTCTCTCTCCTCATTGATGTTTCTCTCTCTCCTTCCTCTCTGAAATCAATACAAATATATATGTATATCTATCTATATATATAGATATATACTTTTTTTTTTAAAGGGCTGCCCTCTCACCCTGCTCAGGACAGCTCTGGAAGGTCATCTCATTCTCAGAACTCCCTGGGGATCGGGGTCAGCAGAGGCCTCTGCTGTGACTGTGCCGGCATCTGCCTTCTCCCTCTGCCAGTTCTGTTTCCTTCCCTTCCTTCGCTGACCCCCAGGGCACTTCTTAATAAAGCTCTGGTGCACTGAAGAGTCCGTTTCCCAGGGATCCCAGCCTGTGATAGGCAGCATCCTTGTGTCCACCGGGGACGAGCCTAGAATGTTCTGAGGGCTGGGCTTTCCTTTTTGCTTTGAGCTGCCAGGACAATTTGGACTCCACCCAGAGCTGAGAAGTTCCGAACCTTGGCAGGCAGCCCTGCAGGACCTAGGCTTCCGGGTAGCCCCCGGCTGGGTTAATTAAGCAGTCAGCGGGGGAAGATTTACTGCACAGTGATCCTTACTCCTCTTGACACCCCTTTAAGATGACAACATCTCCAGAAATCAGAGGAATCGTAGCTGCCATTGTGCAATCTCACAGAGGGTATTTTACAGATGAGGAAATTGGCTCAGAGAAGGGAAGTAACTTGCCCGAGTTCACACAGCCAGGGAGCGCTGGTGCTTGAATTCACCCAGGACTGTCCATTCTTAAAAATCAGTGCTCTTTACACTTCACTCGAGCCACTCAGTGGTAATAATAATATGGATTATTGGATCATCATTCACTTTAAGTGACATGGAAACTGCAAAGCACATAATACAAAGCCTGGCTCATATTAAGAAGCTGACAAATGTAAGCTATTGATCAGAAACTCCCCAAGGGCTTCTCTTTCTTAGAATAAAACCTGAACTCCTTTAGCATGGCCGACAAGGCTACACGGTATCTGGCCCCCTCTCTTCCTTCCTCCCTCATTTCAGTTCAGTGGCTAAACCAAACTCACACTGAACTCGGGGGCTTCGCACTGACTGTTCTCTTTTCTTGGAATGCTCTTCCCCTTGATCTTTACTTGGCTGAAATTTCCATTCAAAATTCCATTCAGCCCAGCCGGCGTAGCTGAGTGGTTGAGCGTTGACCTATGAACCTGGAGGTCACAGTTTGATTCCCGGTCAGGGCACATGCCTGGGTTGCGGGCTCCATCCCCAATGTGGAGCATGCAGAAGGCAGCCCATCAATGATTCTCTCTCATCATTGATATTGATGTTTCTCTCCCTCTCCCTTCCTCTCTGAAATCAATAAAAATAAAAAATAAAAAAAGCCTTTTCCCTTGCACAACTAGAACGGGTGGAGTAAGGATTCAAACCTGAGTACCATGACAAACCAAACTCTTTAGAGAGCAGAACTCTAGCAGGAGGCTTCGAGTTCTGGCCTAATTCAATCATCAGATGGGTTATGGCCCAGAGAAGCAGGGCAGCTTGCCCAGACACACAGCAAGTTCAAGGCGGGATGGAGACTAGACTCTGGGGCCTGGGGTGCCCCACAGTGCTCAGGCCAGGGTTTTTCTTTCCCAGCTGAGGCCATAGTGCCTCCCCATGGCCAAGCCAGTCAGCTCCCCTCTACACGATTTAAGAATGGAATTATCGGTTTGGAAGACAAAGTTGCAGGTCACATCCCCAACCCTAGCTCATGTTTTGAAAACCAGAATTCTTTGGAAGTTAATGGGAAACCCAGAATAATGGAAGCTGCCCTTCAGATGTTTGCAGAGGACTCTGAAGTGGTCCCAAGGAACTGACCAGTGACGATCGGGCTGAGTTAATAAAGCACCAATCCGGAAGCAGGTCTCAAGGACAGCTTACATTTATTTGCTGATGATGCTGACCTAGCTCATGTTTTGAAAACCAGAATTCTTTGGAAGTTAATGGGAAACCCAGAATAATGGAAGCTGCCCTTCAGATGTTTGCAGAGGACTCTGAAGTGGTCCCAAGGAACTGACCAGTGACGATCGGGCTGAGATAATAAAGCACCAATCCGGAAGCAGGTCTCAAGGACAGCTTACATTTATTTGCTGATGACTCTAATCATACTTCAAACACAGCAGAAGTTAAGAGTCTGTCAGGTGAAGCCATTTCATAACAACAGCTAAACGTGGTCCGTGGACAGTGCTGTGAGCATCTTCTCACGCTGAGGCCCCGGCTCCGGGCAAACAGCTGGCGGGTGGGCCTGGTCCATCCGGCCTTGATGGGCGCCTCCGAGGAACTAGTTCTCATACTTGTGCTTGATGTGTTTCCACAGCTTCTGCATTTTAAAGACAAAAGCCACAAACTTTAAGTTTCCCCTCTCCCATTTTACAATTATACTCCCACTGCCCTGGTCCCTAAAACAAGCTGGAGAGAAAGTCTTTCCACATCTCGACAGTTGCAGCGGGAAAATTGGAAGCAATACCAGGCTTGTCACACATTCCTAATGTTTATAAAATGCTTTGAGCCCTGGCTGGTGTGGCTCAGTGGGTTGGAGCGTCCTTTTGTACACCGAAAGGTCATGGGTTCAGTTCCCATCAGGGCACAGGTGGCAGGTTCAATCCCCAGAAGGGAGGCAACTGATCCATGTTTCTTTCACATCCATGTTTCTCTCCCTCCCTTCCTCTCTCTCTAAAATCAATAAAAACATATCCTCAGGTGAGGATTTAAAAAAAAAAAAGCTTTGATGCTCTCAATCACCATGTGAACTAAGTGGGAAAAGATGTTATTACTTTTATAGGAAATTGAGGTACCGAGATTGAGGGATCTGCCTCAAAGTACAATTATTAAGGAACAGAGCCTGGAAGATGGTTCACTTCTTCAACTCTAGGTATGACTTAAGGGATCCTAAGCATAGAGTCCCCAAAACACTTCACACTGAGCCATTCTCATTTCTTCAGACCTGTGCTTTCTGGGTCAGGGACTAGCTGGACTCTCATTCCTAAAAATACAGAAGTTATGACAATACACTTCGACGTCTCTCCCAAACACGGGGAACGGCTAGCTGCTTGCAGGAGATGGAACTGTGGTGGGAGCTTTATAGGGGCAGAAAGCTGCCCTGGCCACAGGCAACACAGCGTTCGTGAACAGAGCCTGCCTGGGCTACCGTCAGACAGCTATGCATTACAAACAAGAGAGAGTGGTGGGACAGGGCTATCTGCACAAGACATTTCCTAGTATGAGCCACGATTTAATGATATACAGTCTGCACAGCACCCAGCCCAGCGCCTGCCTGATTCCCCACCTCATGCTTCCAATTTCTCCTGAGGAATGTAGCATGTTATTTTCTTTCTTTTTTAATCCTTATCTGAGGACGTTTTTATTGGTTTTTTAGATACAGAGGAAGGGAGGGGCTATCTGCACAAGACATTTCCTAGTATGAGCCACGATTTAATGATATACAGTCTGCACAGCACCCAGCCCAGCGCCTGCCTGATTCCCCACCTCATGCTTCCAATTTCTCCTGAGGAATGTAGCATGTTATTTTCTTTCTTTTTTAATCCTTATCTGAGGACGTTTTTATTGGTTTATAAGAGACAGAGGAAGGGAGGTGGAGAGAGGGAGGGGAGGGAGGAGGGGAAGAGAGAGAGAGAAACATTGGTAGGTTGCCTCCCCCACGCACAGAAGGGAGGGAGAAGGGGAAGAGAGAGAGAAACATTGGTAGGTTGCCTCCCCCACCCGGGATCAGGGATCGAACCCCCAACCCGGGAATACAAATGTTCTTTTCTGAGTGGCACCACCTGGCAGGCACGGTGGCATCTTGCCTGTATCTCGAATAATATTCACAGTAAATCCGAGGTCGTTACTATGACCTATGTCACAGGTAGAAGTGAAGCTCAGAGATGCTAAGAAACTTGCCCAACTTAACGTCACAGCTATTAACAACCGAGGCCCTGTATTCCCACGCAGGGCTCCGACTTCACAGCCCCGACTCGGAACCATAATAAAAGCCGCGCCGCTTGCGCGGGAAGCCCTGCGAACCGAAGGCGCCATCGGAAAAGGCAGCCGCGAGGTCTAAGGGGACAGATGTCCTTTTCGCCATCGTCCACCGCTCCAATCTGCCCTCGAAACCCTCCGCGGAGACAGGGGGTTCAGCCCCAGCCCTGACTTCCTGGTGCTGCAGCCCTAGGACGTCCTTTGCTCTCCCTAGGCTTCAGTCTGCAAGTGGAAAAGTGGGAGATCGCAATATTTAAACGCCCTGCAAAGTGGAATCTATTGACCTCGTTTGACGGTTTAGGATTCACCCCCGGCAGAAAGGGCAGACGGCAGTCTGCAGACAGAAGACGCGCAGGGTTCACCCCTCTTCCTTGTCAAGGTGCACTGCTCCCCGTCCCACCTCCATTCCCACTGACACTCTCAGGTGGGCCCAAGGTCATGGATGGATGGCCTAGGCCCTCACCCCCTGGTTGATGTTTTCGTAGATCGCGTCCGCGCCTTGGTCGAAGGCACGCTCGAAGAACAGGGCACCCACGGCGATGGTTAGGGCGAAGGTGGAGGTTCTGCGGAAGAGCAGGGAGTACAGCCTCCCACTTAGCGTCGGAGCCGCCATGTTTCCCCACCGCCGAAGTCGCGACACCGCGCCTGCGCCGCGGCCGACCTTGCTCTCCAAAGGCCTCCGACGTGCAGTGCTTTATGGGACATGTAGTCCCTCTAAATCTCCGTACTCGTCGTTTTGAATCACGGAGGTAACGGATGGCTGACGAGGGACAAAAGTCTTATAAGGTTCAGATCACAGCAGCCCAAACTGTTTGGTAATATTTATTACACAAGTTTACTCCTCAATCATTTCTTGCTGATTGAATATTGCTAACTACAACACCCAGAAGCTCTCGCGCTCCCCCCACCTACCCTCATGGTGTTGCAGCTTTAATTCGCAAAGGTTTCTGGGAAGGGAGAACTGGTACCTAAGGAAGGACTACGAATCCCAGCAAGCAGTTCGCAACGCAAGCGCGGAGGAGGAGGAGCGCTGGGCCGTCGGGCCCGGCCGAACCAGGTACCTTCTTTGCGGGACATCGAGGGTTGCGTTTTAGTCTCCCGTTCCTCACGGGAGGACTTGGGCTCTTCTTTCCAAGTCCGCGCTCCTCCCGGCGGGCCGCTCCGTTTAACGGGTTAGGAAGTAGAGAGAAGAGCGAGGGGCCTGGACGTCTGGGTCCCCGGTTCATCTCTATTCCCTGATTCCTCGGTCAGTTTCAAGTTTGGCAAAAAGTCCGGTCCTGGGGGCTGAACCCATCCGCCCGACTCCAGGGAAAAGGGCGATTCTTCCCATTTCCCGCATCTCTGTGCTTCGCATCCGAGAACCTTGGCCTCAAGGCAGGAGGGCTGACACCATCATTCCTACCTGGGAATAGAAAGAACAGGGGCTTTGGGGTGCTCGAGCCGTCAACAGATACTTCATTCATTCGTTCATTTTATTATTTATTTACTTACTTATTTTCATCCTCTCCGGAGGATGTTGTGTGTGTTTGTGTTTTAATTGATTTTTAGAAGAGAGGGGGAAGGGGAAGAGAGAGACACATCTAATGAGAGAGAAACATCTAATCGATCGGTTGCCTTCCGTACCGACCCGGGGGATCGAATTCGTCACCTAAGTATGTGCCCTGACTGGGGATCGAACCCTCAGCCTTTTCGTGCTCAGGACCACGCTCCAACCAACTGAGCCACCCGACCAGGGCAACAACGGTTCTCCGGTTCTCCGAGCGCCTTCTCTGGGCCGGGCGCTGGGGACTCCCCAGTGAACAAGTCGCTGTCATGGAGCACTCATTCTGCTT